TGAGCGCTGCTGAGAAGCCAAGGACAATGGCACTGGGTTTTGATCCTACTTCATGTTCCGGCTTTGTGGGAGCCTAGCCAGTTTGGATGTTCACCTTCCTAGAGCAGGATGGAGGGGGGAGGACTTTGGACTTTCCACAGGGCAGGGAACACTGACTGCTCTTCAGACTGGAGAGGGAGGGGGAGAGGAGTGGGGGGAGGGGGAGGGAAAAGGGAGACGGGGAGGGAAAAGGGAGACGGGGAGGGAAATGGGAGGGGGGGAGGAGGCGGAAATTTTTTTTTTCAAAAAAAAAAAGACTGTAGACTGTGTGACTATTAACCATAACCGCTTGCACTTAGCTCAAAATGCCATGAACTCATAGCCTAGATGAAGATTTATATCAAAACTAATACAAAGCCATGTCTAACATGATCAAACACAGACTCACACTGGGGACATTTGTCTGATGAAATTCCATTCTCATATATCTGATATAATAATTCTAAAAGTATTCTGTATCACATGGAAAAACAATACATGCTGTTAAACAATCTTTTCATATAAAGGATGAGTCTCGTGCCTAGTAAAGACACATTCAGATACAATTCCTTTGAGTCTTATGTCTGTTTGTCATTCGCTGACTCCTTACCTACCTGTTCCTGAGACCTTGTCAAATCGGTCCCAGTGCCCTGGCTGAGCTGGTCTGTCACAACGCAGGATCTAGACTTATTCCAAAATGAACAGTAAATATTGACACATACTTAGAATCAGTTTATCCAAGAATTTATTTACACTTATTTCTTTCTTGGAAATTTAGATTGATAGCAGAGTCTTTGTACTGTGCTTCTAACCAGAAAGATAACACGAACATTCAACAAATATTAACTGAACTAAGAATGCCTTGGAAATTTTTAAGGATGCTAACACCATTAAGTAAAACTTGTTGGGGAACATAATATTCACCTCGACCCAAAGAGTATGTCTACTGGTACCTTCTCAGCAATGCATGTGAAAATATATCTTTATAATGATGGCAGCCAGTAGACAACACTTTTCTTACATGGAACTTTTCTTTCTCACAATTCTGGAGACGGGGACTTCAGAATCAAGGCACTGACACATGTCCAACCAGAATGTACTTTTAGTCTACAGATAACTGCCTTTTACTGTGTCTGCCTGGAAGAAAGGCATGTGGGAACTCTCTGGGGTCTGCATTATTCCTGAGTGACCTGCTCTCCTACCTTAGACACCAACAAACACTGGAAGTTAGGATTTCAACATCTGAATTTGGGGGTAAGTTTCAAGGACATGCAATATTTTATAAAACAATTGATCCAGACTAAGTCCCTAAATTACAAAACATTATAAGAACATCACAGAATAAAACCAGAGTGGGATACAACCTAAGCATCTAGATGATAGCACTCTTAAAAGACCAGAGAGGCAGCTATAGTTATAAGCCAACCATGTTTATTTAAATATATGAGCAAATGTAAGATATATTATTCTAGACAAATTATGCATAATTTGTTTACATATAAATATATACAATTTGTGGACAGTGGTAGAAAATTTAGTAGGAATTTTATACTAGATTATGTTCATAAACTTTGGAATGTACTGCTAATAATGAACCCTCAAAACCCATATAAGTATATTAAATACTTTTCTCATTCCTTCAACTAAAGTACAGATAAAAGACAAATAAAAAAATAGTTTCCCTTAAACTAATGGTTTCTGCAGGTATGGTCGGCTATTGTGAGGAAGGGATGGTGGGGCAGGTCACATGTAGTAGAGTCCATCCATGAGTCCAGAAGCAGCAAACGTATGAAGTAACTGGAAGGCAGTGTACGCCAATGGCTGAGTCAGAAGAGTAACAGGTGTCAATTGAAGTTTAAGGTGTCAGACTACCAGGAGGAAACTCATGGGTCAATCTTAAAAGGCAAGGCCCCAAGACCACAGAACTCAGAACGTCTTGTTTCTACTATGCCTTTGAATGTTTGCTGCTGCCATCTTTCTCTGGTATCTGGCATGGTGTGAATGGGTGTGAGGAGATCCCCACTGCCTGTAATGTAGGGTGTTTATCTCACGGAATCATCCTGTTCTATTGGGCTTTTTTATGTGTAGGTTATTGTGAACGTAATTCTTCCCTAAGATGTATCGTTTATTTGATAATAAATGTGTTAGCTTATACAGGGTTTTGATGAAAAAAAAACAAATACAAGGAAATGTTCTACATCTACCCTATGAGTTTCCCTTAAAGACCGCATAGATGCAGCTCAAGTTAATGATTAAGAAAAACAATTGAGTCCCAGGAGCCAGGCTGGCTCAAATGCCTTTCATCTTAGTCCTGAAAGTTACAGTCACAGGTTTCAGTGTGCATCCGTAGCTGAAATGCTGGGGGCTGCAGACCTCTGGCCCTTTTTTTTCTTTGACTGCCTCCGACCCTTTGCTTGCTGGAGTCAAACAACTTGTTTTCTTGCCCCTGCAGCTGCTCTGAGCAGGAGACTCTCATGAGTTCCTGATGGCAGGGGAGGGAATGCTGGTGGGTTTTACACCTGGAAATCCTAGGAGCTGAAGAGTGGCTATCAGTTAAGGATCCCTATATAAGCTTCCCTGGAGCACAATGAAGTTAGCGTTCTTGTTTCAAGGATGACCTGTGGCCCGTGTCTGTGTCTGTATGTGTATGTTTTTAAATCTACAGCCTAGTTCCTGGCTCACATACAGTCCCGTAGTACAGGCGCTACACTGAAACAAAACTTTAAATAATTTCAAGCTAAATCAGATATTTTGGTAATAGTTTTGAGATGAAAATCCCAGGAAACAACCTAAAGCTCACAGGCACACATAGCCGAGTTATAAATTCATTAGTTTAGGGTCAAAAACGCAATTCAACCCAATTGTTGCTAACTGATCATACTTTCCTGGGGTAGGTTTGGTTGGTGATCAGAGGTGATGATTAATTCCTTGTGCTCATTCCTGCCCTCAATCTCCTGATATAAGAAACTATCAATGGTGGGTATACACCCTAAAGACTTAAAGTACAGCTGACTGGTTGGTTTTCATGTATAAAAGATTAGGTTTGTGATTCCTTTAAGATTCCTTATAAGATTAACTGTCAAGATGAATACTAAAATGATTAATTCTTTCTTTGTAAACACAATATGCAGCCTGCCAACAAAAGAGTTTGGCTGTGAAAAAAATACTTTTCTGCTTGCTTTGTTTTAATCATATAAAGAAGATATGAGAAAACCTGTTTATATATCTCTATATGTTTATATAAAGAAAACCTGTTTTTACCTGTACTCATTATAATCATTCATCTGAAAATTATGATGTAAATACACTGATTCATACATTGCCTGAAAAACTTGGTTGGGATATATAAGCTGTAGAAAGAAGTACACAAGTACATTGAGGAATAAAAGAAGAAGGATACCATTAAGAAAGAGTGTAAATCAGGTGGAAAACTCTAGTATACGTTGATACTGTGGATGTCCTTCGAGCCCTGTGCTGTCTGGAGGCCGCCACCCCAGGAAGTGATAAGTGCAACCTTTAGAGTTAACCTTCAGTGACTTACTTTCACAAGTTTGACCTCATATTGGGAAGATTCAGCAGTCACTCTAAAGAGTGGCATCACTTGAATACCCAGTATTCAAATATGTGAGCCTGTAGTGGACACTGTAGATTCAATCCACAACAATAAGAAACTGCTTTTTATGTTTTATATATAATACATAAATACATACATATGTGTGTGCTCTCTGTATCTACACTATACATATACTATGTATACTCACATATATATGATACATATATAGTGAGAGACGCACTCTGTGTGTGTATGTGTGTGTATTTAGAATTCAGGTATTCTGATTCCAATGACTTGTTTTCACTGTAATTTTTCACGATACTCTCTGGTATTATGTGATGCACATGCACATAGAGATTAAAATTGATTTCTGATTGCTACAATTAGTGATTTAATGCACATGCTGTCTTGCATACTTCATGTATCTTTACATGATCATGCGTAGTCAAATCTACTTATTTAGCAAAAACCCCAAATAAAATGTGGACTGTATCCTTCACTTCTTGGAGATTTCATTTCACTAACAAAATTTTTTCAATCCACATTGAAAACTTCTTTGCCAATTCAATACCCTTGTACCTACAATGAATGAAAGATATTCAGGTATTGTTAGCCTAGCAAATGCTTGGGTTTATTTATTTATAGCAGGTCTGATATTCCAACATCCAGTACAATGAATTGTTAAATTCATAGGGAAACAAACAATGAGAATTTGATTTTGAAATCACATACATGCAGGAGCCTGTGCGGTCGGTCTGTCTGTCTGTCTGTCTGTCTGTCTGTCTCTCTCTCTCTCTCTCTCTCTCTCTCTCAGACACACACACACAGTCAAAACTATACTCTTTCTCAATTGTAATTCTTATATATATTTTCTGGAACATTTCTTTCTTGGTATACTGGTGGTGCCGATGATTGAGGTAACATGGGAATTGCCGCTGCAGACACAGCAGGATTTGGTGGTAGAATTACAACAACCTGTGAAATGAATCAAAATGTCATTGAGTCATCCAGTATACCCAGAGCTTCCTATTCCTCACCCCATAATGTCCCCCTTACCAGTATCTACATTGTTACTACTGAATTGAATCACACCTCACCCTGCTTGGTGTCTTAGGTACCATTTGGATCAAGTGTTGTACACATAGGACACTCATTCTATTGCAGAGGTTGACCAGAGAAATTGATATTTGCAGCTGCATCTTGGAGAATCAATTTCCATTCCATTTTAAATGGATTAATGAAACAAAGTGTTATGGAAAATGACAATGGCATTCTTCCAAAGTGGTTTACGCCTGCTGACAGCATCACATCCAGACTTTGGTGTGACAGCCGGGAACAAAGTTCTGCACACATGACAGTGGCCCAGAATGGCAGAAGCATCATGAGATTTGGGAAAATTCTGTCCTTCACAAGCTCAAGTGATGTGGGGCAGTGGCAGCATGAAGAAGATGTGCTACTTAAGCATCATATGCCCTAGGCCACGACTGGGGTGGATTAACAGGAAAAAAAATCAGGAATTGCTCGGCTCTAGGGAGCAATTGCTGGGTTTCACTGGCTACTTTCTCTACTTGAAAATTTGAGTCTTTGAGGCCTCTGCTGGCATATCATCATCATAGTCTACTTCTGGTCTTTTTTTCCTCCTAAGTCTGTCACTTTCTTATCCCTATGTGACCTTCTTCCTCCCCAGTCCTCAAAAACATTTGCAGCAGTCCTTGGGGAAAGACAATGGCCAGATGTGCAGAAGCTGGAAGTTTCTGATAAACAACAACCCGGTCAGCTCCCTGAGCTACATTATGCAGGACAATGTGGTCTCGAAAGGAGGAATCAGAGTGGATAAAATGGGGCTGGATTTTATCAAAGCATACAAGATGCAGTTATGGTATTTTGAAACAATAAAAAAACATTTGCATGTGAAAGAAGTCTGAACACAGAAGAAGACTAGAAACCCTTCTTCAGCTGGGTTTCATCTTAGGAACAGAGCATTCTAGGTGGGACTGATTGGCAATAGATTAATGGGATACAAACAAAAAGGCAGGGTCTAAAACAGTCCTGTAAAGGATGCCACATTCTGTGGCTGGATACCTTTCAGGTTCTTTCTACAGCTCACAAACGCACTTCCATCCTTAAAAATGCTTTTTTTTTTTTTTTAGTAAATGGACTCTATTTCAGTTTCTAAGCATGAGTCCCTGGAACAGTCCTTTGCTTTGTAAAACAAGGATCTGGAATTGGGTAAACTCTGAACTCAGATCTGTTGCTTGGCAATACTAAACATGTTTTCCCTGACTCCCTGATTTTTTCAGTCTTTCTCTCTATCTCCCTCTCTCTGAAGGCTGTAGGAATTTCCACCTTGTCTGTCCCTCAAACTGTCAAGAAAGTGCTCTTAAGCTTCCTTCCAAGTCTAGGTTTAAACTCTTTTATTAATGAAACTAAGAACCCCATAGGCTGCCTCAGTCCCTGGTAAAACAGTCTTTTAAGTCTGAGCTAGGACCTAGCTGACCTGTGGATGGTCTGAACTTGCGGGAGTTAAGAGCAATGAAGATGTGTCTTTGTAAGCTATTAGATGATGGAGGTGGGTCTTGTAATAATAAAGAAACTGCCTCGGCCCTCATAGGACAGAAAATTAGGTGGGTGGAGAAAACAGAAGAGAATTCTGGGAGAAAGAAGCTTAGTGAGTGAGTCGCCATGATGCTCCCACTCCAGACAGACGCAGGTTAAGATCCTCCCTGGTAAGCCAGCTCATGGGCTACACAGAATGTTAGAAATGGGTTAGAACAATATGTAAGAGCTAGCCAATAAGAAACTGGACCTAGCCGGGCCAGGCAGTGTTTGAAAAAATACAGTTTCCGTGTAATTATTTCTGGGTATAAACTAGCCATGCGGGCGGCCGGGTGCCGGGGACGCAGCCCTGCCGCTCCTATTTCAACAGATGGCGCCCAACGTGGGGCTAAATCCACTTAAAAACCTGAGAAGCCTTAAAAATAAGGGAAACAGAGTTTAACACAGATTTTTGCTGTTTTGTTGGTGACATGCTGTAGAGAGATTCCTGATTCAGCAACAGCAGCAGAGAAAAAAAGCTGCGTCATTTTAAAGCGCGGCTTCCTGGTGCTATGCTGCCAGCGTGAACTCTGGCTTTAAAGCATTTCAAGGCTTTTATGGGACTGGATGTTTCTGTTCCCACTTGGGATCGGAGGAGATTGCTCTGAGACCTGCCGATGGCTCAGCGTTCCCTGCCTACACCTGGGCAGATGGCGGAATCAGGCTTAGGCAGGCGGAAGAGCATGGCGGATTCCTGCTGCCATACAGAGACGCGTTTTCAGACTGCGCAGTGCTCTGCGTGTCAGATTTGGCTGTAACTTGGATAAAAAGAGTTTCTGTGCTGCACACTCAGTCTCAAAATTAAATTGCTGATTGCGGCTCCAATGTAAACTGCTGTTTGCCTGTAACTGTGCTCAGCTCAAAAGCACCAAATGACTCTGAGGCAGGAGCGGCTGCTCCTTGCTGAACTGTGCTGATCTCAGGCAGGAACTACCGTAATTACCTTAAAACCGTGCAGTTAAGGTTTAGACTGGGCAGGACACAGGCAGTACCGTATTACCTATACATGGTGCAACTTAAGTTTTTAAGAAATGCTTAACATTTTAAGAAATGCTCCTGGAAAAAAAAAAAAAAATTACAGATTCACAGTAAAACAGATTCAGACACCGTTGGATGAATGTACGTAGGCTTGGGGAAAAAAAGAGAATATAAAGAATAAAGTTAATGTCTTAAAAAGAAAAAGGGTAAAGTCTTTAAAGAGACAGAGTACAGAAGTACAGATAGTTATAGATTAAGAGAAATAAAGAAAAATAAGCCACGTAAAAATGAAAAATTCACAGAGAGTCTGGATTATGTACATTGTGTTTTCTTTAAAATTTTTGACTGTGAAGGAGCTAAGTACAAAGAGACATTTTATTATATGGGCTGCTAAGCTGAACCTGCACATATGTTCTAAAGGTATCTTGACTTCAAAATTTGGATCTAAGGATATGATGCTTTGGAGAGGGTCTTCTTTTGTTTCCACAGAGGATGTGACCCTATGGATTGCATCTATCCCGGTATGGTATGATAGACCACGCCCTCCTGAAAGGTTGCTGTGAACACCCTCAAAAAATTACTTCACTCAACTGCCAACCGAGATGAACCTGACACACAGGTTACACCCTAAATGATCTGATTAACAGTGCCCCCATTCAGCAGGAAGCAGTTTGGAGAGAAAAAACTACGCCCATGTTCCCAAATATTGTTTATAAATGTTCTTTTACATTTAAAGGGGGATATGATATAGATATGAATAATTTGCATTGGTATGGATTTTAAGGTCAATTTTGTTATATGTATATGTATTTTTGAACTTGATTAAGGTATTGTGATTATGTAGTTCACTTAAAATGTAATGTATAATTAGGAAATATAGGTTGTTAATGGATAATCATTGCTAATAGTTAAGCTTGTAGTCATGTTAGTTAGATTTTCTAGATATATAGAGATATATTTCAATTAGATAGGCATTCTTCATATCTTTCAAAGACTGCAGAATATGGCATTTAAAATATTTTAATAACTTAGGACTTTTCATGACAAGGAGACACGTCTGCTCCTGGCAGCACCAGCTACTTCAAGAGGAAGATGGGCATCGAAGAGGATCCTTATGGAGTTGGATAGTCATTTGGGCAAGAAACTGCTCTTGCCTGGACTGTTGCATAAACTGGACACAGAGAACCCGCAGAGAGAGGACTGCTGAACTTGCCTAAAGGTGAGATGGTCTTTCGGGGTTCCTGATTCATGAAAGAGTCTGCGAGACATTCTGCAGGACACAGCAGAAAATGACTGAACTGTCTTTGAAATTTCCTGCTTCATGGAAATGTCTCTGGATACCATGGGCCTGTAGGCCGAAGATGGATGCCCCAACGGTACAGAGGAACTTTGGGTGACTGTCCAGGCAGCGAGATGTCTCTGTCATTTCTAGAGTTTTCTTATTTCTTGTTTGATAGGTAATATTATATCCTTCTGGAGTCTTTGATGGAGTTGAAGAATGGATAGTTATAGTTTTCCTTAGTTATGATAAGAGATAAAATAGATATAAATATTGTAACTGTAATTCTTACTTGATAACTGTTTTGTTATATGTAATTTTACTATGTTAAAGTTAAAGCCTTTCTTTTTTTTGTTTAAACAGAAAAAGGGGAAATGATGGAGGTGGGTCTTGTAATAATAAAGAAACTGCCTCGGCCCTCATAGGACAGAAAATTAGGTGGGTGGAGAAAACAGAAGAGAATTCTGGGAGAAAGAAGCTTAGTGAGTGAGTCGCCATGATGCTCCCACTCCAGACAGACGCAGGTTAAGATCCTCTCTGGTAAGCCAGCTCATGGGCTACACAGAATGTTAGAAATGGGTTAGAACAATATGTAAGAGCTAGCCAATAAGAAACTGGACCTAGCCGGGCCAGGCAGTGTTTGAAAAAATACAGTTTCCGTGTAATTATTTCTGGGTATAAACTAGCCATGCGGGCGGCCGGGTGCCGGGGATGCAGCCCTGCCGCTCCCTATTTCAACAATTAGATTTGTGAGACTGATTACTAGATCGATAGAGACCTACTAAACACCACCCAACAAGGACTGCTACTCACCTCACTGGTGTTACAACAGGTTGCTTTACATCCAAAGGCAGAGGTGGAAACAGCAATGCAGAATTCTAGCACATTTAAAATGAACATCAAAAAATCTATACCCTAAAAATAGATTCATACAAAGGAATGTGAATAGCGAGTAGAGATTATAAGTTTGAAATATGCTCCTCCACTACCGTGCCAAAAAGGAAAGACCATGGCCGGGGGTTCGAAATCTAGCTTTTGATGTGGCCCAACCCTTAGAAAATTTTCTGGCCTCTTGAATATCATTTCTTCTCTCACTTTTTTAATAACAAAAATTATCAGAAACCCCAAAGCCTGCTAAACTCTGGTGCTAGAAATTTCACACAGAGAAAACAATATTATTTTACTTTTGAAGAGAAGAGGCTTGCAGGTTGGCTTTCTAACAAAACTCTGAATGGGGAGATCCTAGTTTGCAGTGGGAACATAGGTTGTTTATTAGATAATATAGGCAGACTATCCTGGCCACTGCAGGGTATCCAAGTTACCATAGCAACTTCACAAGTAGAAGCAAGATGCTGAAGAATCAAAGTCTAAGAGAATGTAGTACTTGCCATGAAAACAGAGGACAGAATGATGAGCCAAGGGATGCAGACAGAAGGTGGAAACATAAAAGGCAAGAAATTACCTTTCCCTATGTCTCCTAGGAAGGACAACAGCCCTGTCAACATTTTGATTGTATGCAATTGAGATTCATTTTGAACTTCTGTCATCCTGTAATACATCTGTATTATGTGCTAATTTGGTAGCAATTGTCGCAAGTATGGTAAATGACTGGAGTGTTAAATACCACATTTGTTAGTATTCAGTGCACTTGGCTTTGTCTGATTCTTCACCAAGCCACAGGATCAAAATGGAGGAAAAAGGAGCAGCACATTTGTTCTGAATTCTCTTGCCTTGAACTGGTTTTTTTAATTTCTCTTGCCTGGAATTGTTGGGTTTGAATATTCTGTCTCTTTCTCTCACTGATGAGATATGCTCCCTCTACTGTAGATTAGTCAACAGATCAGAACCTTGGCATGTGAGAGATACTATCTGATTCAGCAGGCTCTGAGAAGATTTGCATGTTTTGTGATGAGATACTCCTTGCTCCTGCCTCAACAGATCCAGTAGCCTCTGTGTCTCAGGCACTGTGACAGGCACAGTGGAGAATAACAAGTAGAAGAGATGGTAGCCTTGTCCTCAGAAATGTGACCATCTAGATAAGAGTTTCTTTGAGCATCAGAGAGTACCAAAGTCCTGTCCATATGCCTCATATCCTTCCTTACAATTTAATCAGTTTCATATAATTTATAAACAGTTTCACATAACAATTTAATTTACATAAACAAGTAGAGCCTGGGCCTGGTAGCTCACAACTATCTCCCAACACTGAGAAGAGATGGTGTTTTTTAATCTGTGGGAATCCCGGGTTATATAGCAATATTCACATCTCCAGAAATATCAAACACACAGACTGAAAACAGCAACATGAACAAGACAAAAGGAAGACTTTCAACAGAAGTAGTATGTGTACATACTATACTATATTATAGTATACTATTCTAAACTATAGAAAATATTATTACTTAGATCATTTTGTATGGTCACTCATAATTCCATGTGGCTTGTTCTTTTATACAGAATGCTTACTCTTTTAAACCTGTTTTGTAAAATCATAAGCTAAACAATATATCTTTTCTTCCTAGAGGTTTGGAACCTCCCACTCTTAGGAACTTGGTTCTATTTGGGCCTATCTGGGATGCCAACTCAAGATGACCCGACATATGGGCCCTATGTCTCTGCACTAGCCACATTAGTGGTTTTCTTTTACTTAGTTATAGAAGAAGGGAAATAATCGACTGTCACCTGACCCCTAAATAATTAACTGTTCTACTTCCCAGTCATTCGCAGCTCCCCAAAGAGATTTGGCAGTCACATTTTACAGCATTGATTGTTGCCTTTGCAAGAGTCAGGGAACCCTTATCTCCACAGTGGCGGCCCATCAGCAAATGAAATACTCACAGCAGCAATTCTAAGACGTGTGAAACGTAAACTCATAAGTACACTGAAGAAACCAATTATACTTGTTGCTGCAGCCACCACAGAGCTAATGGTGTTAAAACTTAGACTGGTGGTAACCTAGAAAGGAATGGGAATCAGTTAATTCAAGAGCATCTTTCATGTACTCCATCAATATTTGAAATGCAGCATGTCTTTATAAATACATTTATTTCATCCTCTTTCTGCCAAATGCAGATCTGTATCTTTCCTTATGGTATCTTTACTTCCAATCCTTTGGCAAAGTAAAAGCATTATGCCGTTTTCCTAAGATGAAATCCCCTCTCCCCCAGAGATGACACTCAAGGCCACAACATGCTCTTCAAATTTTGTAGTGAAAACATAGTGCTCTTGACACATTATCTGGAAGGCCCTGCCTGTCATTACCCACCACATTCTTCAAACATCTGACTGTTTTCCTTGTATAAATGTTGATAATCACTCACGGCATGGCCCTCTGGCATATTTCCCCCTATGCTGTAGATTTGGTTTCACACTTCCCTTCTCGTGGTTGAATAAAAGAAACTTTATTATGAGAAGTAAAACTACTCAGAAAACTGAAACTGTGCTGTGTCTCTAATATGGGAATCGAAAGAGAACAGAGTCCAGCTCTGCTGGCTTTCTCGCGGGGTTTAGGTAGGATGTCTCAGTACAGCGAGAGGGACTTAGACAATTGTTAGTCTGAGAGGTTCCTCTGCCATCACAAATCCCAATCATATATATATCCATTCATTAATAACTTGTTAGTAATAAAAATACTGCAAGGAATATTCTCAGGGACAGAGGCATTCTTTGAAGATATGCAGCAAAACTTATCTAGTTTGTAGCTGACCACAGCTGCAGCTATGAGGAGGTTCCAGCCCTCTCTTATTAAGGCTGCTACAGCTTACAAAATGCAGAAAACTAAACCACTGTGGGATCTAAGGAAAAGGCAAAGAATACATGCATTATTTTACATTTCTCAAGTGTGATTAATAATATTTGTTCATTGTTAGTCAATAACCAGCATTTTTATTTACCTAAATCTTAAGACGTAAACAGAACCAGTTATTCTATTGCATCGAAAGCTAGTACAAAGTGTTAATTGCTATTGTGAATGACAGCAGAGAGATGCTGGTAAGAGAACTTCGGACCACATAGGTCCTATTGCTCTCTCAAAGGACTATGATATAACAGGGTCAGACATCTGCAATACCAACCTAATTCGTCATAAATCTTTAAAGGACTATGCTCTATCAAGACCAGACACCTACAAATCTGTTCTGTAAAAGTTCCTCTTGTGATTACCCCACAAGGACTTCCATCTGGCCAAATCATACTGTCAGGGAGTTAATTACAAAGAACAGGCTTCTATTTTTTTAATAGCAGTGTGGGACAAAAGGTTTGACTGTCATATTTTATTTGCCAGAATTACAGTTTGGGGGAACAGTCATCCTACTAACAACACAGGAAGATTGCGCCCAACATATGAGGCGTGCACTGCTTGAGAGGCCCAAAGCTGAGTTAGAAGGGAGCGTCTTATCACACAAGAGAATCTGCAATTAGAGACAGCAGCTACTCAAAGGTAATATTTTTCACAGGCCATGCCTGTATGAATTTAACCTTCATTCAATGTGTAAATCTCTGGTGGGGCTGTCTTCTAAATATCATCTGATCTGCTGTGTAACCTTGCAGATCTCATGACATGAGGTACATGTTAGTGGCCAAAGCTGGTTAAAGATGCTAAGGAGGTAGACAAGAGCACAGGTATAGAAGGGTCACTTGGTCATGGTCCAGAAGTTGATGTTTATCTGCTGCAGGAAGGGAAATTCAACTGCAGCTTTTAGCAAGTGAGTGAAATAATTGCTGAACTCTTGGTTGTTGCCTTTTATCAGTTTTTGACAGAAATCTCATTGTAACCGTCTTTTTAAAATCATTTATTATTTTATGTGTACATGTGTTTTGTCTACATGTATGTACATGCCTGGTGCCCACAAAAGTCAGAAGAAGGCTCTATATTCCTTGGAATTGAATAACTGAGAGTCATTATAAGAAACTCTGAATCAAATCTGGGTCCTCTGCAAGAGCAATAAACGCTCTTAATCACGTAGATATCTCTATGGCCTCTATGATATTTTTTTTAAAATGCTATTTTAGATACATTTGTAGAAACCATTTTAACCTGTCAGTTAATGATGTTATTGCCACTGAGAATATTTGGTGTCTTTGTCATGGGCACGATCTGAAGCTTCAAGGTTCACGTGTCTAACTTCACTTCTCTAGTTTCACCAGGACCAAGATTCTCTCTGCAACTGCCTGGACACACCATCAACTCAGATATGATGAGACCTATTACGAACAAGTAGCTCAGCTACACCTTTGAAAGTCAGATCTTTTTAAAATGCAGAGCCTTGGCCTTAGGAAAATAGAACCAACCTTTTTTACGTATTACCAGAGTGCATACTTAATGTAGTCATTCTATTTTATGGCAAAATAAAAGAAAATAGTTACCAGGACCTCTGTAGTTCTCATTCCTGCTGCAATTGACAAGGATCCTGAGATTATGAACTGATAATAAGAGGAAAATTCAAGTTAACAATTTTTAAATAGCTTCTATAAATCATAGCATACTAAAACTCACTTCTATGTCAGCTGGGTCTACTAAAGTGGCTAATGATCTTCAAAGCAGTGCAGTTGTCACAGTACCTCCCCTACCAGAAGAACAGGGGGTAACGTGAGTCAGTGGAAGAATCATCAAGGTTTTTTAAAATTATGTAACTGTCATCCCAACAAAATTGTTTAAGATCAACGAAGGATAAAACTCCCCAATCCTTATAATTAGATTTTTGCACGCATGGCCTGAAACTGAAGAAGATAGCCGCACAAAATCAGACCAGAAATTATTCTTGTTGAAGATATATTAAAAGCTGTAACTAAAATAATGACAAAAATTATACTAGAATGCTGTAGCTCATTTGAGACCTGCAATTTGGCAATTATTTTCAATTTCTTCTAAATGACTGCTGTCAACCTGACTCAAGTGACTTTAAACTATTATACGGATGTCTGCATTTGCTTTCCAAACTTGGCTTAGAAGATTTAAAAGTTAATAGCAGCATCAGCACTATCACAACATTGAAATGAAAATCAACATATATATATATATATAAGTTTGGGGAGATAGCTCTCAGCCAATTGCTTCCCATGCAGGGCTGAGCCCTTAGGTTCAATTCTCCATCAAGAACTATAGGAGTTGGTTTCCAAGATAGTACTTAATAGAAAATAAAGATGGAAGAAGGAAGCAGTGGTGGGGATATGAGAGATTCTGAGTCCTCGTTCGTGGGCTGAGTACATCTTGGGTATGTTAACCTTTCCTAGTCTTGTTTTCTTCACTTATACAATGACAATGAAAGCAAATCTCTCAGAAGTTGTGGTGATACAAAACAGTTAGCAATATTCCTAGGTTACATGCAATGAAAACTATTACTGGAGTTATAGGTGCTATTACTACAATTATCATAATCATTGATACTATTTTTTTATATGTCAAATGTCATGTAACTTTGAAAAGTATTGGGGCCTGTGGCATTTCTCAAATCTTAAACATCTATTGTAAATAGGAAGGGAAAATTAAGGTACCAGGTCTACAACATCACTAAACTTTCTCATTGTCAAGTTTATCAATAAATGGAGCCCTCATTTTTTAATGGAATTCTCACTTGTAAAATAACCAAGTTTTTGCATTTTACTTTCCATTTGTCAGCTCATAATATATAGGTAAGAAAATGTTTGATATTTTATACTTAATTGACACTCTTTTCTCTACAAAACTTTCTTAAATTTTATTATAGAGGAAATTTTTTAATTTTTAAAATTTCTTTTTCAAATTTTTATTAGTTAATTTCTTTAAAATTTGGAACAGAATTTACGTAGGTTTTCTATTCTCTTAAGCATTGACTGAGAGTTGATTAGCCAGGCACTGCTAACCACCTGCTCAGCTTTGCCTCCTCTGCATTGCTAACAAGTCCCTCCTTTCCTTCATTCTTTCATGAGCTTCAGAGTTCAGGGATCCCTTCCCAGCTGGAGACGTGAATCTCAATTTCCACAAGCTAAAGATGCAAGCTCATTTTCCTTGGCTGAAGAATAGACTGGTAAACTCTTTGTGAACAGTGAAAGAGCTCCATCACTATGTCAGATTACTCTATCATCAAGATGTGATGACATTTTGTACCACCGAATAACCACCACTAGGAATGACTAGCCTCTGGACTCCTGAGGAAATTAGTTATGACAATGCTTAAGTAACCCTTGTGGGAGTACATGAGTGCATGCTGACACAGTATCCTAAATGCCATATTAAATAAACAACCCACCTAGTTTATGTGAAGGGTATATTGGTATTGCAACATGAACAAGGAAAAAACTGAAAAAAACAGATATACTGTTCTCAAACTTATGGACTACTTGAAAGAGTATAGAGAGGATTCCCCCGAAGGTTAGTGGAGTCACAACAGAGTATTATTATCTCCAGTTACATAAGATGGTATGCTACTCACCATGATTGAACCCCAAATTGGGGCATATACGAACGCTGAAAGTACTGGGCGGGGGTATTGGTCTTCATTCATCATTATTATACCCAAAATGAGGTTTATGAGAGCAATCAGAACTTGGACAACCTAGACACAGAAAAGTGAAACATTATCACCACAAAAAAGATGTCTGCACTAAGTGCTATCAAACCACTAAGTTGCCTTCATCCACATGTTTAATATACCCAAATGAATTTTGAAATATTATTCTGACAATAGTTTTCATATACAGACGGGGTAATATCTCTCTCTCTCTCTCTCTCTCTCTCTCTCTCTCTCTCTCTCTCACACACACACACACACACACACACATTTATTTGTATCAGTAACTTCAAATTTAGAGGGAATTTAAGGAGGTAGGTACTCGTCTTGTAATCAGTTAGACTAAGGGGATATTTGAGTTAAGGGCAGGGAATCATTGGGAAGGTGCATAGGAGTACAAGACAATAATCTACAAGCCTGTATCATCAAACTGCTCACATTAAAGCATGATTTATTCCCAGAGCCAAAGCTGGGGACCTAAGGCTGTGGTTCTCAACCTGTGGGTCTTAATTACTTTGGGGGTTCAATGACCCTTTCACAGGGATTACCTAAGACCACTGGAAATATAAGACATTGACATTATAATTTATAATAGTAGCAAAGTCACAGGTATGAAGTAGCAACCAGATACTTTTATGGTTGGGATCACCACAACACGAGGAAGTGAATTAAAGGGCCACAGCATTAGGAAGGTTGAGAACCACTGAGCTCTGGGCTAAGCTCTCAGAGGAGGTAGGATTATGGAGGTGTTGTGGAAGATAGGAACAATGTGATCACTGGAAATCTGAAAAGCCCCAAACAGAATAAAACTCAACACTTTTTAAATTTAATTTTGTGTCTTAATCATTGGTATACTAGTCTCATTCAAAACTTGGACTCTCTTAAAGTGATACATTTTTTAATATACCATAATTAAATATTTGGAGAGCGTGTGAAAGAAAAACATTAGTATTCGCCAAAATTGTGTGATATTCTGAAATGTAATTAAAAATTAGAAATGCCAGCTTCTGGCTGATCTGTGTTGCTTTAGTTTGATCTTATTTCTATGGATTCTTGGGCTTCTTCAGCTAGTCGTGATTTGGAGCCTAGTTAGCAAGCAGAGGGTCTCATAATAAATAGTACTTCAGCAGCAAAAAGAATCTTGACATATTTAAGATATACAAATTACACATGAACATTAAAGATATGTCATGAAAAAAATGATCATTTTTCAATATTTATAAGAACTAGAACAGTGAAGTAGAAAAGAAACTGCCTGCGGCAACTGCGGGGGGGGGGGTTGGAAGGTTGGGCCAGTGAATACCTTTTGCATTTAGTGACCTTTAACCTGCTTAGCATGTAATTCCTTGAAATTCCCTAATTTTTTTTTTTTTCGGCACAGTCTTCTGCAGACAGAAGAATGCAGAAAACAGGGGATTTCTCATCATCTGACCAGCAGGGGAAGGAAAAACACTAGAAACATCTAAGAATAGTATGGGTTTCCCCGCCGCTGGGCAGGCCTGGGACTGGAGCGCAGCAGCAGCTTGCCTAGGTTTCTGTCTGCACTGAAATGGATGGGGTCATCTTGGATAACACACAACCTAGAATGTACCTGAAGTTTCTCTATTTTAAACATAATTAAATTGAAAATCTGATGTGGCAGAATAACATATCCGTTTTCAAATGATAGATTTGAAAATCAAATGCTAGTGACCATGGGAAGTGTTGAGAGACCATGAGGTTAGTGGGACAGAGTACTTGCGTTAGATTTTTTTTATTTGTTAATCCTTTAGATATTTACAAAATCATTCTCCCCTCAGATCCAGAAATGTCTTACCCCAAGGTCTTTGGGTTCCCCCTTCAAGAATTTCTCTGCATTCTCTTTCCACAGTTGTGACTTTACAACAGGCCTCTCTGAAGGCAGAGCACCTCCAGGGGCCACCTCTATGGTGGTCTGTTGTAGTCCTTGCATGGTTGCCATGGCAACAGAAGCAGTGCTGAAATAAAATTGAAATTCTGGATGAACCCCTGGAAATGACTCAATGCCAGGTTCCTGCTTATGGGTAAATTCTGAACTAAATCCTCCCATGTTAACACAAAAAGTTTAGCATAGATAAACTACAAAAATAGCTTTAATCTCTTGGTAAGAGAAGCTCTTCTGTTTCTATTTTCTTAGCCTTATTTTTCAGTGCTCATAATTTTTTTAGATAGCCATGGCTGTTTTGGACATCATTTTCAAATAGATTATTGGAGCCTTTGTACAAGCTGAATTTATTTCCATTGACTTCATTTCCCCCAACTCACTATCTGCTCCACCTCAGCAAAGAAACCCATCACTCTTCTCACATGGTCTCCGGCTTTCATCAGATACAACTCCCTGCTGCTGTATACTACTCACCCCGCAATGCAAGAGAGGATTCAAGCTGCCTTTGGTACTTCCTTTTCGTGCTCCAGAAGGCAAAGGTGTTCCTAAGGAAACCTAAACTGTAGAGTAGTCCTCTCCAATGCACAGTTTATTCTCTGTTTACAAAGGGCCTCTTCTGTGCCTCTCAGAAATATCTTCAGACCTCTGCGGTGTGCTGAGTTCTTAGATGTCCTTTAATATTCTCCTCATGAGTCAATTACTAACGAGGAAGAATAAAGAGAGGAACCTAAAGGGTGAGCCTCTCTTTTGTCAAATAGAAAACACACACAGACACAGCCTAAATCTCAAGTTTGTTGGTAATTGATGGTGGTCAAGAAATGAAATATGAGCAGGGAAAAGCCTGGCCTAAGACCCGATAATCTGAAGTCTACTTTTAGCTCTTCATTAAGATGTGAATTTCTGGCTACTGTCTCTGGGTTACTGTGACTGCTCCTGTAAAGAGCGCATAGGGCACAATTGGTCCAAGCTTCTTTCTGATCTTTATACTGCTAAACGTTTGCCCTGTGTCTTCTATTGATAAACATCGCATCAACAACTTCAGCTCATGGCCTATGTGACCCCTAAATGAAGCCAGAGATGCTTGGAGACCTAGTACATGTCACAGTCCATCTCGGGAGCAGACTAAGCATATCTGGTTGGTAGCTCAGGCTCCATCATTCTCTGCATCTCCACTAAGTCTGCATGGAATAGATATTGTTAACTGGTGGATTATCGAGATAATATGTAGGAGACAGAGATGAATATAATGGTAGATTATTAAACGTGTGCAAAATTCTCAGTCAACAATTTAAGGTGTGGCCTTTGTCTTTCTTTTATATTCCTTTTTAAATGTTATTTTATTTTTGAGAATGTCATAACTGAGTATTGTATTTACATCATTTACACCCCACCCTCTCTACCATTCAACTTTTTCCCATGTTCCCCACAGTCTTAAATATTTATGACCTTGCAGGGAGGTGGTGACGCACACCTTTAATCCCAGCACTTGGAGGCAGAGGCAGGTATATCTTTGTGAATTTGAGGCCAGCCTGGTCTACAAGGGCTAGTTCCAGGACAGGCTCCAAAGCTACAGAGAAATCAAGTCTCGAAAAACCAAATAGAAATATTTATGATCTCTTCTTCTTTATTATTGTTATATATGCATGTGATTATATTAATATATCAATATACAATATGAATATATATTCATATATAATATATATAAACATACAACCTGTGAGGTCCATTTAGTGTTTCTCATATGTATATTGTTTAGGGATAACCTCCTGGGATTGGATAACCCATCTGGGAGTTCACTGTTAGAGAAGACTGATTCTGCTTCTCTTAACAGTCAGTAATTGTCTATAGTTCTTCATCTAGGGGTGAATATGGCAAAATATCCCCAAGGGTACAAAAGTGGCACTTATATCTTGGGGGTAGCCAAGCACTGTGTAAATGGCCTTACAGAATATTCAATAGGAGGAAATTAATGTCTGCTACTATTAAACCTAGTCACCTGCCTGGTGAGGTCATAGACCCTGGAGGAGAAAATATTGCTGCCAATTTACCAAGCATTTGTCTTCTCATTGTACTTATTCTTTGTATCAAAAACTGCCTCCCAAGGTGCATTTAGATGTGCACTCAACTCAAGTTCAAAATACTAGTGTGTGGAGTGATCTCATCTTTCCATCTAGATGACCTATATTCATCCAGTACATTAAAAGCCATCATGCCCAAAACCTGAGAAGACAAATGTCTGCACCTACCTTCTTCCAGCCTGCAATGCCTGCTGTCTGTGTCTGATGAAGTCCAGGCTCTGGGAGAGCACCTCAGTCTGTCCAGACCCGGGACCCACCACACACTCAGACTCAGTCTGTCCAGACCCAGGACCCACCCCACACTCAACCTCAGTCTGTCCAGACCTGGGACCCACCCCACACTCAACCTCAGTCTGTCCAGACCCGGGAGCCATCCCACACCCAGCCTCAGTCTCTTCAGACTCAGGCCCAAACCCACCCTCAGCCTCAGTCTGTTCAGATCCAGGACCCATCCCACACCCAGCCTCAGTCTGTCCAGACCTGGGACCCATCCCACACCCAGCCTCAGTCTCTTCAGACTCAGGCCCGAACCCACACCCAGCACTCACCCCACACCCAGCCTCAATCTGTTCAGACCCGGGACTCATCCCACACCCAGTCTCAGTCTGTTCAGACCCAGGACCCACCCCACACCCACTCCGCAATCAGTTGAAATTTGCATGTTTCTTCTATCACCTTTCTAGAACATAAAGGGTGTGGTATGAATTTCTTAATATATCAGCTTCCTCTTTTTCTATACAAACTGTTAACTGAGTTTTGATTTCTCAGCTAGAGTGTGTATATTTATTACAAAATACACTCAAAAAGAATGACTTACAGGGTTTTTCCACAAGAAAAAAAGAATGTTTATTGTGGTGATAAGTAAATATTTATGGTTTGTAAAACTTTGCCAAAGGAATATAAGCAAAATGCTGTGATATATGAAAATTTTGTATCACCCATGATTTTGTGTATTAAGATTACTAAAGAGCAAAATATGAAAATGAAATATGGAAATATGAAATCCAATACAGTGATAAAAGAGCATATGCTGGTAGTAGTGACAAAATATCGTTAAAGACAAATGGAGCTCTAAGGATAGTGGGTGATGTGATGGCATCTGGTTGACTCTACCAGGTTGTAGTAATCCTTCCTTCAAGCTCTCCCATGACAGGAACAGCATCTCCAGCTGTGCAAGGAGGCTGGATGCCGTCAGCACACAAGAGAAAAATGTTCCAGAAAATCTGCACTGATTGTAGTGCCAGATGCCAAGAGAAAACATCAGAATGTCTGGTGTGAGTGTGTGTGTGTGTGTGTGTGTGTGTGTGTGTGTGTGTGTGTATGAATTCAGTTTAATTTTTCAGGGAATGGTTCTCTATTTCTATCACAGTATCAGATGTTGAACAAACAAATCACGTTTTGTCAACAACACTTGTGTTTTGTAGCCACACTCAAGACTTTACATAAAGGCAGTAAAAAGCACAGAAGCTTTGACAGTGTGTAAGCAAAAACAGTTGTCGCCTAGATGAGTAAAATTACTTCTTCATGTGTGCTCTACTTCGCTGACCAGTGTGTTCTGTGATTTGACTGCTTTTCATCCATCGTCAGGCATACGGTGGCTTTTTATTTTCTTCAAGAAGTTTAGGTGTCTTGTTTTTCCCTCTTTTCCCTCCCCCTTTGTCCTTGTATTATTAAGTAACAGTACCTGTAATGGTCTGCTCTGTCCCTTTAAGAGACAAGCCATGCCCACCTCCTCCCCGTCCACAGAGGCAAGCTGATCTTCAGCTTCCAGCCTGAGTCCATTTTTTTCTGTCTCTCTCTTACAGAGGCAGCTCCTAACTCTCCCTTCTCCCTACTTCTCCCCTCCCCCATCCCTCTTTGCTCTTCTCCCTTCTCCCCTTCCTTTCCATAACCCACTTAATATCCAACCTCACTCTGCATGGGTTCAGATGAGGGTGGGAACAAGAAGGATGGTGGTGTAGAGAGAGAATACTGGGAAAGATGGCTGGAATTGGAGGACACTGGTGAGGGGGGGCAATGTGAAACTACAAGGGTAACCCTAGCAAAGACTTCTAGTAATGGTGGATACCGAGCTGAACCAGCCATCTTCTGTAACCAGCCAAGGCTTCCAGTGGTGGAGCTAGAACACCAACCCGGCTGCAAAACTTTTGCTCTACAATCTACCCTGCCTGCAAGATGTACTGGGGTAATGGTGGCACAGAACTGTGAGAGGGGCCAACCAATGACTGGTCCATGAGGCCCCCATGCTGAAATGGATCCAATACCTAACCCTGCCTGAATGGCCAGGAACCAGAGGCTAGATGACTCAGAGACCTAGAGGGGAACAAAATATGAGTGGCAAAGTTAAAAAAAAAGTCAACAAATTGACGTGCCCAGTCATCATCAGAGAAGCTTCATCCAGCAACTGATGGGAACAGATGTAGAGACCCATAACCAAACATTAGTTAGAGCTCAGGGGATCTCATGGAAGAGGAGGGAGCAAGAGAGTCTCTGCAGCAGCAGGAGGCATCCTGCCATCCCTAGCGTGGGCACAGACCCCCAACATGCACATTCCAGGCCTGCATCCCTGAATTTACAACATAGACACTCTCTGGCCAAGAAAAGTAGATGCTCACCCACATGACATGCTTTTCCCATTGGCCAAACCTCAGGAAACCTGGGCACAGGCAGCCTCCTGTGGCCATGTGCCTTTTCTTCCTGTAAACTTCATGCATCCTGAAGAACATTGCCCAACTAGGACTGGAACTTCAAAGCACATTAGCGATGGCACCATTGCTGATCTCCCACTCTCTGTCTACACTTAGGAAACTGTTGAGTTATTTGTTGGTTAACTGCAAACTCATTCCTGTCTGGACAAAGCAACAAATTTCTCTCAGGTGATTAAATCATACTTACTCCAGGAAATGATCCCATTCCAAATTTGTCCTTCCCTGAGGATGAACTCAAATCTAAAATGCCATCTAGAATTTCTGTTACTCTTTTATTATTTATAACTCAAGATATTAAATGTACCCTAATACATCTATTGTGGATTTTCTGATTGGACCCAGGCCACTGTAAAGCTCTTCCTGCTCCTCCTCCTCCTCCTCTTCCTCCTCCTCCTTCTCCTCCTCTTCCTCCTTCTCCTCTTTCTTTTTCTCCTCCTGTGTGTTTACATGTGTGGGTGGGAGTGAACATGTGTGGGTGGATACAACTGTGTGTGAAATTGGAGGCCAGAGGCCAATGCTGGGCAATTTCATCAGTTGTTGTCCACCTTCTAGTTTCGGGCAGGCTAGCTCAACAGACCTGGAGCTCACCTATTTGGCCACACTGGTTGGAAGAAAAGTTCCAGAGAACTCGTGTCTGCCTTTCCAGTTCTGTGGTGTAGGCACGTGCCACTGGGCATGGCTATTTTATATGGGCTCTGGAGAGCTGAACCCAAGTCCTCTTGCTTGTGAAGCAGGCACTTAGCTGGCTGAGACCCCTTCCCAGCCCCTGATGAAACACTGTCAACTGATCCCACCGAGAGAAATTCCCCTGGGTTGAAAGAACCCCAGCAGAAAAGATGTTTATTTCATCATAACGTGATAGTGCTTAAATATTAAATATTTTAGAACACGAGGTGACATATATATGTTCTAGGCTATAAAAAGCAAAAAAGGAAGAAGCAAAAGATCATATAAAAACATGATATTATATTATCTGGCCAAATAAATTATGACTAAGAAAGGAAGAGAAGCAAGAGAGATAACGCTGTTTTTCAAAGTGGTTCCTCTTCTGGAGTAATCTACAAGGACATCTTCTTCACATCGGAAGTGAAATTATCTTCAGCATCATTATAATTAATATAGAGGACCAGCCAAAGATGTAAAAGTTGGACAGACATTGTGCAACTCCAGAAACATATAGGGCGTTTCTACAGAGATGTGGAGGTAACTGCTCATCATTTCTTTCTCCTCGTCACACCTCCCCAATGCTGCACAGAGACCATTCCCCCCCCACAGGAACAGACATCTACTTCCTGCCTGAGGTCCCATGACACCCTGAATTTCCCTCTCTTATGCAGTGAGGAGTGGCAAGAGTGAATATATAGATCAGCAACAAGAAGTTAGAAAAGGGATCCCTTCAAGAGCCTAGTCTCTTGTCAACCCTAAAATGGCTCCCTTAATGTAGATATCTTCTTCCCTGCTCTTATACCTGCCCTTCCTCCATCTCCACCGTCCCACTCCCCCAAGCTCTCTCCAGTCTTTCCTTTCTCCCTTCTCTCTCCCCCTCTCCCCTTTCCCCATCCCCACCCCTACCGCCACCCCCATGCTCCCAACTTTTGTCCGGTCATCTTGTTTCCTTCCAATTTCCAGGAGGATCTATATATGTTTTTCTTTGGGTTCACCTTGTTATTTGGCTTCTCTAGGCTTGCAAACGATAGGCTTAATGTCCTTTGTTTATGGCTAGAATGTACTAATGAGTGAGTACATACCAGGTGTCCAAGGGGATGTACCCAGCTAGGTCCTTGGGCAGCAGTGCAGAGGGTGCCTGAACTGGCCTTGACCCACTATCACACTAATGTTTATTTGGAATATCGCCATAGAATTTTCGTCTGGCTATGCATGGAGATAGAGACAGAGACCCTCATCAGAGCACTGGACTGAGCTCCCAAGGTCCAGTTGAAGAGCAGAAGGAGGGAGAAGATGAGCAAGGAAGTCAGGACCGCAAGGGGCTGGTCCACCAACCGAGACAGTGTGCCTGTTCTAATGGGAGCTCACCAAAGCCAGCTGGACCCGGACTGAAGGAGCATGTGATCAACAGGACTCTCTGAATGTGGCTGACAATGGGGGCTGACTGAGAAGCCAGTGATAAAGGCACCGGGACTTGTTTTTACTGCATGTACTGGCTTTTTGGGACCCTAGTCTATTTGGATGCAAAGCTTCTTAGTCCTGGATGTGGGGGAGGGGGGCTTGGACTTCCCACAGGGCAGGGTTCCCTGCCTTCTCTTAAGGAGGGAGGTGGTGGGAGGAGGGTGAGTAGGGGAGCAGGAGGAGAATGGGAAGAGGGGAGGAAGTGTAAATTTTTGAATGGAAAAAAGAAAGGAAAAAGGAAAACAAGAAGTTAGAAAAGAATTATCTTTTTTTGAAGGCCGATGGACCTTTCTTAGTCCATATTCTACCACACACTAAACAGGCTGCATGAGTGAGTTGGTATTTCTGGTAATAGTTTGGTCAACATTCTAGTTGCAGTTTATAGTGTATAATTATATGATCCAGGAGATAGTGGTCATAAAAAAAAAAAAAAAAAAAAAAAAAAAAAAAAACAGGAAAAAGAGCATGTAATGAAAATCCACTTGCCCTTGAGCAGAAGGGGGACAAGCTTTGCCGGAGGCATGAATTGTTTCTGCCTCTGCTTCTGTGGGCACCCAGTTGCCCGGATGTTTCTCAAACAAATGTGGTCACTTTTAGTGGTTGCTGCAATTTCCTCACACAGGTAGGAGCAACCGCTTATTGATTTCCTGTATTTTTATTATCTTGAGCTGATCCAAACGTTACCAACCTTTCCTTATGTTGTCTTCCTTTGGTGCATGGTTTTTAGATAAACAAGGAGTTTGCATTCCTATTTTGGTTATTTGGCATCCCTAGGAATTTCTTAATTAATGTCTTGATGTTTTTCGCCATCCTGAGCCTTATCTCGTCAGGTATCTCCGACATTCTGTTCTCTCATTGTGCAATTCACATTTGTTTAAAAACATGACTAATCTCCCTCCAGAGCTTCGACAGCCCTTGCGCTCTTTAGTTATCCTCTCCACAGCCCCTTCTTATTTTGATTTGCTGTCATTAACACACTGCTTCTGACCTGTCTTTCAGCTCAATTGCTCAATCCTGACACGGTTCATGGATTCCTTCGAGAATGAAGTCTGCAGGAAACACACCATTAACCTTAAAACTAGAGAAAGAGGGCCCATCAGAAGCATGAATGAATCAGGAATGAAGATACAAGCTTGGGAGAAGACTGGACTTGAGGAGTCAATGGACACTGAGAGACCCAGAGAAAAGGAATTCACAGCTCCCTGTGGGCTTTTCCTTCAGAATAGTATAAGACACAGTGTAATGGAGACTCGGGGATCCAGTATGAAAGTGTGCACAGTTCTTCGTAGGCTCTTCCTACTGGAATACTATGAGGCCCACAGGCAGATCCTTTCTCTTTACCTTTAAGAAAATAAATCTTAATCTTGAGTTAACCCTGTTGATGCCGTGCGGTTTAGCAGCCAAAAGGTGTAGTAAGCACAGGAGAGCCAGCCCCGCTGCTCATCAGGTGGCAGTGTGAGCAAGGGAGAGACCTCTCCTCCCGCCCCTCACCCCTTGCCACCTGTAGCGGATGAGAGTGTTGATTCTCCATCTTCTCCATCGTACCAGCTGTAACTCCCAGGAAAATGGTCCCCGTACCTTACCTGAGCAGCACAGTAGAGCTGAGCCTGTTGGCAGAACTGGGTGGACAAGTCCTCGATCGGGCTGCCCCTGCCCCTGCCCCTCATCTGTCAGATGGTGGCATGAGCAAGGGAAAGACATCTCCCTCCACCCCTTGCCACCTGTGGCAGTTGGGAGGGCTGGTCCTGAGGTCATGAGAGTAGGAGAGCTGACCGTGCCCCACTCCAGGTGCCGCGCTTGGGAGAGGGTCCCCTGCACCTCGCCTGGGCAACACTGTAGAGCTGGCATTGGTGGTGCAGGTGCAGGTGAGCTGATCCTGAGGGCATAAAAGCAGAAGAGCCTCCCCTCCCCCTTGCTCCTTGCTGCTGAGGGTGAACTAGCTGGAGCCATGCTGAAGAGCTCACCCTAGTAGTGAGGATGAGGGAGAGCTGGTGGGCAGACCAACCCTGCAACTACCCAGGCTCAGAACCAGGGTTGTGTGCTGGCTCATCCCAACTATGGTCTGCTGGACCAGGTGAAGGGGTGCATCCTGCAGACCCAAAGCTGCAGGACCGCAATGACACCGGGCAACAACAGAATAGCCAAGAGGAGCCCCAATGAGGCCCCAGTAGCTAAGGTATAGCAGCTACCAGAGCCCAGAAGCCAGACCAATGACTCTTTGCAATGAACACTTGCAAGTAAAGATACACGGAGAAAAGTCACTGTGTGACTCACTGTGTCAACTGCAGCTTTCATGATGAGATTTTTCTTTTCATTTTCTCTTAAATTTTATTTTATTATGGGGAGAGGTTGCACGGGCAGAGGGCAGATATGAAGGGACGGGGAGATAAATGGGATCGAGATGCATGATGTAAAAGACAAAGTAGATAAAAAGGAAATTTTTAAGAAAGGACATTAACAGCACATTTGGTGGGTTGACTGGGAAACAGCTGAAAAGATAGTGACCTGTTGTAAGCAAGTTGTGGGATTGCCTAACACGTCCTGAGCTACAGTGTGGGGGGGATTTGAAGGCTGTACACTCCTGGGCTTGGTATGAGTCTCCAAGGGCAAAGGCCTTTGACGTCAGACAGTCTACACCACAAGCTTCCTTGGCTTTGGAGACTTGGAATTTGGGCTCAAGCATACTACTGGTGCTCCAGGCTCTCCAGCTTGTAGATACCCAGTAATGCAACTGCTCAGCCTCTGAAATCCTGTGAGTCAGTCTCCCTAATCGATCCTCTCCTGTATATCTCTCTACTGTGAGAAACAAGGTCCTCCCCTACCCGACTCTCTAATAACAAATTCAAAACACTTCAGTAGCAAAAGCCTGGCAGTTCTGTTTTTATTTCTGCTGAACAAGTCATCAACCCAAAGAAAGAAAGGTTAATAAAGCTGACACATAGATTTAGCATGAAATAGTAATTTAATAGCCCTGGACAGAATTCTTTTCTCTCTCTCTCTCTCTCTCTCTCTCTCTCTCTCTCTCTCTCTCTCTCTCATTGACTGCTTGCTTCGGGGTAGGGAGCAATCTTCCTAATTCTGATACAGTCATCACTTCAAATTTTTTTAGATTCTTTTTTCTAGTTGAAGTTCTATACTCTGAGAACTCAAAATCTTATCTAATGTACATCCTGGAAGTCAAGAGTCCCTCTTCCTTCCTGATACATGGGCTCAGTCATGTAGCAGACTGTAATGTTTTAGCCCTAAGATTAACAAAAATGCACACATAAGCAGGCTTCAGCTGCTAGAAGAGACAGGGCCCCAAGAAGAGGAAATCGTTACAAACTCCTGAGTAAATGTGGGAGGGGGAGGGGAGAAGGGAAGGGAGGGGTATGGGAACATGAGGCCATGAGAGATGGCCAAGTGAGGGGAGAGATGGAGAGGGAAAGCAATGAAAGAGTGTCTTGAAAGAGGAAGCCATTATGGTGTTAGGGAAAAGCCTGATGCTAAGAAAAGTCCCAGGAATCCACAAATATGACCCCAGCTAAGACTCCTAGTAATAGTAGAGAGGGTACCTGAACTGGTCCTCCCCTGTAATCATTTTGGTGAATACTGAAACTGTCATCATAAAACCTTCATCCAGCAACTGATGGAAGCAGATACAGAGATCCACAGACAAGCACCAGGTTGAGCTCTGGTATTCCAGTGGAAAAGAGGGAGGAGGGATTATATGAGCGGCGGGGGGCGGGGGTGGGGGTTCAAGATCATGATGGAGAAAACCACAGAGACAACTGACCCGAGTCAATGGGAGTTCACGAACTTTGGACTGTCAGCTGGGGAACCTGCATGGTACCAAACTAGATCCTCTACAGTTGTATGACTTGATTTGTTTGAGGGGTCCCTGGCAGTGGGACCAGGATCTATCCCTGGTGCATGAGCTGGCTTTTTGGAGCCCATTCCCTATGGTGGGATGCCTTGCTTGGCCTTGATTAAGGAGGAAGGTCTTGGTCCTGCCCCAACTTTATGGGCCAGGCTTTGTTCACTCTCCATGAGAGGCCTTCCACTTCCTGTGGAGTGGGTTGGGGATGGGTTGTGGGGGAGTGGGGGAAGGGGTGAGAGGAAAACTGTGGTTGGTATGTAAAATGAGTAAAAAGGAAGCAAAATAAAATGAAACTAAAAATATTAGTTAATAGAAAGAAAATTCATTATCACTGAGGTGCAAAATATTTCCATATAGAAATTATATATCATGTTAAAAATACACATATAGATAGATGGATAAGGGTCAATGTATATCATGCCCATCGATAGTTGTTGAGAATTCCAAAAAGAACAAAGAGCAAATATTACCTGATTATCTACGTTTAGTTAAATTCTCAGCCTACTTCCTCCTTTTTTCCTTTTGTTCATCATTGTAGATGTACAGTAAAGCTAACTTATTCCTTGGTGACTTTCCAGAAAGAATGTGTGTGAGACTGTAACACAAAACAAGAAAGCTGGAGTGGATGATATTCACAAAGAGAGGGACAGTCAGAAGATCAGAAACAGCGTAACTAAAACACTGGCATAGGAGAATAATCTAATTGTAAAACTGGCAGAATGTGGAACAAACTAATTTTGCTATAATTTTGTAAAAGTCATTTAAAGATTGGCTTTCAGAATTCTACTGTGAGTCAGATTGTTCTGGTCCCCGTTTCCTACTAACTGACAGGGGACGGCGTGTTCCCTGTGTCTTCCAACTCAGCGTAGATCGGTGAATAAATATTTAGTTCTTCATAAAGACGATCATCTGCAACCTGATAAAGAGAAAAACCACTCCGTATCAGTTACCCAGAACTTTCCATTCCTTTTTGTCTTTTTGAATTTCAACCTGCCTCTCATGCCACTCAAATTATTCCCTTAACATCTAGACACCAAATCAGATGGACTGGCCAATGGGGGCTAAAAGAAACCATGTCAGTGACAAGTTGCTAAGGTGACCCTGTATCTGAAATGGTTTGCCTTCTGACTCTGGACAGGGGTCATAAGAGTGTGTCTAAAAGCGGACAAAGAGGACGAGCAGTGGGTTCCATTTGTCAGAGCTGAGTTGGTATAGCAGCTGGGGACTGAGAATCTCCATCACGGGTATAATGAATGTGCGCAGCAGGTGAAAATGCAGTTGTCACCATGAGTCGAGGGGAAAGAAAACTCAAGGCCTATTTAGAACAATAGAGAGGGGAAAGAAAAAAAAGTACATTGGGGGTGTGGAAAAGGCAGAAACAAACATAACAAGCTCTTTGGGAACAAAAAATGAAAAGTAAAACCTAACACCTGCATGTTTCCATCACACGCTGACATTAACTCACTGCTCACACGCCATCCCTTCAAAGCACCCACAATTTCTATAATTATAAAGATTCTATTTGCCTAGCCCTTAGGGGGACTGTGGCTGTGACCATGTTCCATTTCAGTGTCTAAAATAAGATTTCCAATATGAGATACAAAAGCCAGCTTTTGAGAAATAGTTTTTCGGGAAAAAAAAAAAGTAATAATTCCAGAATTTCAGGCCCCATGTTTTAAAAGACTAAAGCACCGACTCTTTAACATGCCATTCAGGACTTCCCACTGACCTTTTTGCTTTTGAATTTTTCTCCAATCCTATGGATAATGAAGAGCACAGCGCTGCAGAAGGCCAGCATGGTGAGGAGCAGCATCATAAACACCGTTTCCTGTCAACCAACCAACCAACAAGGGGCAAAGTCACAGACAGACGTACCGCAGATCCCTCCCCTTGCAGAAGCTCGCGCTCTCTCTCTCTCTCTCTCTCTCTCTCTCTCTCTCTCTCTCTCTCTCTC